CATACATACATACATCAATTGTATACAGCACATTTGTACATTCATTGCCCTCATCATTCTCAAAACATTTGCTCTCCACTTAAGCCCCCGGCATTAGGTCCTCATTTTTCCCCTCCATCCCCGCTCCCCGCTCCCTCATGAGCCCTTGATAATTTATAAATTATTATTTAGTCATATCTTGCCCTGTTCAACGTCTCCCTTCACCCACTTTTCTGTTGTCTGTCCCCCAGGGAGGTCACATATAGTTCCTTGTAATCGGTTCCCTCTTTCCAACCCATTCTCCCTCTACCCTCCCAGTATCGCCACTCACACCACTGGTCCTGTAGGGATCATCCACCCTGGATTCCCTGTATTTCCAGTTCCTATCTGTACCAGTGCACATCCTCTGTTCTAGCCAGACTTGCAAGGTAGAATTCATATCATGATAGTGGGAGCGGGGAGGAAACATTTAGGAACTAGAGAAAAGTTGTATTTTTCGTCGTTGCTACATCGCCCCCTGACTGGCTCGTGCGTGACTCAGTCTATTTTTATCTGTGAGTATGAGATGTGTCTTTTGAAAGCAGCAGATTGATGGGTCTTGCTTTCTAATCCAGTGCTACTCTTTGTGCTTTGATTACTGCATTTAGACCATTGACATTCAGTGTAATTAATCAAAATATAGAGTAGTTGCTGTCATTTCTACTGTTTGTCTTTCTTCCCCTTTTTCTATGGTGGTGTGTGTGTGTGTGAGTTCATTCGCATCTTTTCTTCTTCACTATATCTGTAATGTTTTTGGTACTATTTTCAGTGTGTTGGTTTCTGGATGGTGTTATATCCTGTGGTATTCTCATGTTTGATTGCTTCCCTCGTTGGTTTTCTGCCCAAATAGAACTGTAAAGTATTTTTTGTAATGCTTGTTATATTTTTATGAATTCTCTGTTTCCTAATCTGAGAAAAATTTTACTTCTCTTTCAAATATGATGGAGAACTTTGCTGGATAAAGGATTATGGAATTGAAATTGTAGCCTTTCAATTTCAGAATATGTTGCTCTAATTTCTTTTTTCCTGAATGGTCTTTACAGAGAAGTCTGAGGGGTTTTTTCTTCCTGCTCAGGGACCCCAATAATTCAAATATCTTTTCACTTCATGGGATCCTATATCATCCTCAAGCTTTCTTCAGATTATTTTGCTTTCTTGTGAAACTTGCTCTTAATTGTAGAGTAGCTAAAGAAAATGGAATAAATGGTGAAGTCAAACAGCTAAATAAAAATTTTCAAAGGGTGTGTGATTGATAGGTTTGTTATACCAATCTGGCCAATAGGAACATGTGGGATTAAGCAGGTTGCAGTTTGACTGGAGGGCAAAGAGATAAATGGCTTTGCATGACCCACCTCTTGCTCTTTGGTGATTGAACCAGCTCAACTGGCAGCTGCTTTAGCTAGTTCTCTGCCTCAACTTGTGAGCTATCCTACCTGTGGTACATGCCAATGTGTGGTAGTGTTGCTAGAACTTGTGGCCCCTTTGAAACCTGCTTTGCCACACTGCTGGTGTATACACCACTTGAGCTTGAGGCTGGTGGATCCTGTCACCTTGCATTGCTTGAGTATGATATCCCATCCAGGTCTGCTTTGCTAAGCTCTTGAGCTGCTGACTGTTGGTGACCTGCCCTGCTGTTTGCTGCCTGTGGGTGGACTCTGCATTGCCCAAGGGAAGACTCATCTCTCTGCCACCTTGAGCTTGGGCTCACCAACCCTCTTGAGTTGAAAAACTTCCAGTTAATTAACATATTAACTATTCCACTGAGGTGAGTTAAACTGAGCCCTCTGCAATCCTGTGTGGACTAATTAGCTGTTATATTCATTTGTGATTATATCTATTTATATTCATAAGTGTCCTGATTTTGTTTCTCTAGACAAGGTCAAATATCATGAAATGTGTAGAGACTAAAATTTAGTAAACCAAAAAAAGGATGAACATGACCAGCATATCTTAAACTGAAAGAACTGAAGAAAAAATGGAAATCTCAACTTGTAATATTGAAATATTCTTTTGGAAAAATATTGAATAATGCAAGAAGTGTCAAGAGAAAATAAAAAGAACCAATGATGCTGAAAGAAGAAGTTCAAGGTGTACAGGAGGCATTACCAAAAATTGAGGCTCCATTCATTAATGAAATACCAACTGAAATATATCAACAGGCTGATAAAGTACTGGGAACACTCATTAATCTAAGCCAAGAAATTTGGAAGACAGCTAGGTGGCCAAATAATGGGAAGAGATCCATATATGTACTAATTCCAAACAGAGGAGACCCAACAGAATGCTCAAAGTATAAAACAATATCACTAATTTACATGGAAGTAAAATTTTGTTGAAGATCATTCAATAAATAATGTTTGCAGCAGTACACTGACAGGGAGCTGCCATAGATTCAGGCTGTATGCAGAAGAGGAGGTGAAATAAGGGCTATTATTGCTGATGTCAGATGGAGTTAGGCTCAATTTCCATCTGCATACCAGAAGATGTTTACTTCTGGTTTATTGATGATGCAAAAGCATTTGATTTTGTGGTAATAACAAATATGGAAATCTTTGAGAAGAAAGGGAATTTCAGAGCACTTCATTGTGATCATGTGGAACTTGTACATAGATCAAAATAGAGTTGTTATAACAGAATAAGGAAATACAGCATATTTCAAAATTTAAAAATGCATCAAGACTGTGATCACAGCTGAAGGGGCTTGAAAGAGTCCCTGTCATGGAGGGCCATGAGGAGTTCAAGCAGAGCCAAATTATCTGCTCTTTGAACAGACCACTCTAGAAGTATTTTAAAAATACGTTTAAAGAGAACAAGATTGAAACCATACTTAAAAGATGAATTTTGAAGTTACAGTGTATTTTGAGTGTCTTCTAACCTAAGGGGCTCATCCCTCCACATTAGATTGGACAATGTTTTGTTTTAATTTGTAGGAGTTTCACTGACTGCTTTCTCAAATTAGATTGCTAGAGCTTTTTCCTGAGTCTGTCTTAGTCTGGAAGGTCCAAAGAAATCTGGTAACCCTGGATGACCTCATTGGTACTTGCAATACCTGTGATATTGCATTATGCAAACCACCAGCATACCACATATCTAAATCTTATGGTCTCAGGCTAGTTGAAACTGGCATATATGAATACAAAGGAGGGAATTTCAGTTTCTAACCCTTCAAATTCTCTTGGGTTTCTTTTTTTTTTCTTATTCCCTTCCTCTGTTTTCCATTGATCTACATTTTCCATTTATAGAAAAGTTCTTTTTATTTAAGGGATAAAATTTGGGCAAGCATTTGTAAAATTCTCTTTAGGAAGCCAATACGGATTAAAGGCTGCTGATTCAATTGTTTGATTTTGCCCCATTTTATATCAAAATCAAGGGAGTAGAAATGTGTTTATAATTGAGGGTGTAATAAGCAACATAGTAGCATCAGATTAATTCAATATTGGATTTGACATTTGTGGGGTTAGATGTCACATTTCATAGTATTTTGGTGGAATGGTAAAAATGGGTAAATAAGCTTGACTTAAAATAAAATGATAAAAAGTGAAATAAGCTTGTCGCTTTTGCTTGCTTAGCTTACACAACAAGAAAGACAAATACACACTATGGGGATGACTGTTGACAACTAGAGAAAGACACTTTAAAGACAGAGAGGCTCATTTACACTCTAAGAAGCTCCTTTTGTCAAATCATAATCTTCTCTTTTGTCCCAAGGGATATTACAAGATCCATTGAACTAGAGCTAGACCTTCCAAAGGGAAGGACTCCATGTGTCCTAGTAAAAAATATGGACTCTTTTTTCTCTACATTACTCATCAATACCAGTGATGAGTGGTCATTAAAGAAATAAAAAAGGCAGGTATAAGTTCCTTTTGTTTATTTATTTTCTTTGAGAAGTACTCTCTTAATTTGAACCTTTCTCAAGAAGGTGGAAGGCTATTTGCAGACAAGCAAATCTATTTTCCTTTGAGTAAATAAAATGACCATAAGATCTTTTTTATTTAGAAAAAGACATGATGTGAACTTAATGGTATTGAGGCAAAATTCTCAAGAAAAGAAAAAATTAATAACCTAAAACATAACAAAACTGAAACTTACTGCCACATAATTCTTTATAGGAGTAGTGAGGTTTATATGACTACATATTTATTGAAACACATGCATGTGTACACTCATAATGAAAGTATTTTATTACATGTAAGTTAAACAAACATTAATTTTAAAAGGTGAATATATAACACTGTTTTTAAAATGTGAAATTGCTAGCAATTTTTTTAAATCACTGTTGATCAGTTTTGCTTGTTAGAGAATTCAACATTAACTGAATCTTAAGATTTTCAATGTTTTAGGGGTCATTTTACTCTTAACAATCATTTTTCTTTTTATTACAGGGTAGAATTGTATGAATACACCAGACTTTAGTTAATGATTCATCTATTACTGGACACTGATATTGGTTCTAATGTTTGGAATCAAGCTATTATGAACATTTTCATAACATTATTTATATCAACATAGGTGTTCATTTCCTTCAGGTACATATTTACAAGTAGAATTTTGTGGTTATACTATACGTGAATGTATAATTTTACATGAAATCATATTACTTTTCAAAATTGACTATTTTATTTCTTCAGTAATATATTAGAGGTCCAATTTCTATATAACCTTTTAAATTTAAGTGCTTTTTTTTTTTTCTTTTTAACACCAATAGTCCGGGATGACTTGACCTGACCTGACTGCTCCTCAGTAACTAAGGTTGGAGGACAGGAACAATATTTTTAAGGACACTTGGATCAAACGTTTCAGCTTTCAACACAAGGTGGCCCTTACCGTGCTTCAGCTTCAGTCCTGATTAGGCTTCAGGGAGTGACTTTCCCTAGCATTCGTTGTGCTTACTGTACATCCAAGCATTGCTGTTGGCTTCAGAAAGCATGCCAATTTTTAATAAAGGACTCACTCGGACTATAATGGCTGACACAATAAGGCAATGTCTTTTTCTGAAATGCTGCAGATAAGTTACAGCAAACTGAATGGCGACCGTCAAGGAAAACCTCACTGTGGGCTCTTTTTTGACTGCAAAAGCTGTGTGGAGCAACTTTAGCTTCAATAAGGGCCACAACTTCAGTTTTTATAGTGTGTTGAATTAGTAGTAGACTTTTATTATGTCTTAATACACATTTCTTGGTAGCTAATACTCTTAATTATATTTATAGTTGTATGTTGATCAAATTAGCAGAGACACTGGAATATATGAGGAAGAACTCTTCATCAGGGTATGAGGAAGTCTTGTTAACAATATTTAGATGACACAATCTTACTTGCTTAAAGTGAGGAGGTTTTGAGGCACTTGTTGATCAAGAATTTTGGCATTCAATACAGATTATTACTCACTGTAAAGAAAGCCAAAATTGTCACAACTGGACCATTATGTAACTCAATGATAAACAAAAAAAATGAGTGAAATAAATGAGTTCATCTTACATGGATCCACAATCAATCAATGCTCACGAAAGCAGCAGTTAAGAAATCAAATGATATATTTCATTATATATGTGTGTATATGCATATATATACACACACATACATTTTCTGCACAGGAACTCTTTAAATCATTGAAGAGCAAAGGTGTCTTTATAAGGACTAAGGTGTATTTGACACAACCCATGGTATTTTCAATCATCTCATATGCATGTGAAAGTTGAGCATTGAGTAAGGAAGACCAAAAAAGATCAATACACTTGAATGATGGTGTCGGTGAAGAATATTGAAGGTATCATGGACCAACAAATCTGTTTGAAAGAAGTACAGTCAGAAAGCTTCTTAGAAGCAAGGATGGTGAATCTTTGTCTTATGTACTTTGGGCATGTTATCAGGACAGGCCAGTCACTGTAATAGGACATTATGCTTGATAATGTAGAGGGTTAGTTTAAATGCAGAAGGCCCTCAATAAGATGAATGACTGATTGGCTGCCACAATGGACTAAAATATAACAACAATTGTAAGGATGGCACAGGACGGGGCTGTGTTTCCTTCTGTTGTTATGAGTTGGAATCGACTTAATGATACCTAATAACAACAGAATGCTAAACAGTTTTCAGTGGAGCTTGTATACAAAAATAGACTAGAAAGAATGATCTAGCGGTACACTTCCAAAGTCATCCAATGAAAACGATGTTCAAATTTACAACTTATTGTAGGGATGATATAGGACTGGGTAGTGCTGTTTTCTGTTGTACATGAGAAGGACAGAGAAAATGGAAAGATTGTGCTGAGAGGGAAGTTGTGTTTGTCCCTATCTGAGAAGGATCAGGAATGGAAGTTGAGTCTTAGGAGGAATATAAAAGACAAAAGGAAAATGCAAAGGACTATGCAGGAGGATGCTAAACAGAGAAAAGGAAAGATTTTCATGCAAGCTGGTTTCACAATATGTCAGAGTTCAATTTTCTCTTTGATATTTTGTTAAACATTTTAATGCTTTCCTTTAAAACAGCGGTTCTCAACCTTTGGGTTGCAATCCCTTTGCTGGTCGAATGACCTTTTCACAGGTTTAATCTAAGACCATCGGAAAACACATATTTCTGATGGACTTAGGAACTGAGACACCACTCCTCTATCCATTTCCAGGGGCGTCCGCCCACATACCAGGACCCCATGTGATGACATCATCGCACCAACCCCGTCACGCACGCCCAGTACAAATACAGGTGTATGTGACAGGGTTAGCACCATAATGTACTTATGCAGACCAGTCACACATGTGTTGAGAGCAGCTACTGTATAGAAAGCAGTAGCTGTGTTGAAAGCAGCTACTGTGTAGAAAGCAGCAGCATTGGAGGTAAAATAACACTTCATGAATTATAATTACTGGGAAAATGTAAAATCATGTACTGTAAAATCATCAACTACTGCAAATATATATATACACATATATATATGTATATATATGTGTGTATATATATGGTAGTTAATTTATGTAAAATTATCAACTACTGCAAATATATATATATATATATGGTAGTTAATTTATTGTGCTAACTTGGCTGAAAAACACATGGGGACTTAATTGAAGGGCGGAGGGATAAATGGCTCCATGAGCCTTGCCTTTCTAGTTCTCAGGTCTCTTGCTTTGTGATGGTTGCACTAGGGTGCAGCTGCCTTAGCCAGTTCCCTGCTTTAACTGGCAAGGCTGACTTAATGCAAGACATCCATGAGGAGACGCCACATGGACCTACCCCAATGCAGCTGTGCATGCTGGAACAGCTGTGTGGAGACCCCTGCCAGCACTGAGATATTTACACATTCACTGAGTTGGCTTTCCTCCTGCAGTTGGCATCATTGCATCTGTTTTGTGAGATGGAGGAGGACTTTGTGGATTGGTGTTGGAAATATGGGTTAATGGGTTAATGTTGGACGTGGGTTTGGGCAGCACTGGGTTCGGATGTTTTCTTGATTCACACTTAATATTTATATAAAACTCCCTTTTATACATGAGTTTCTGTGGATTTGTTTCTCCAAACTACCCAGACTAACAAATATATCTGTACCATGGGAACTTAATCTGGATGCTGATTGGTTTTTTATATTCAGCTGTGGTTGATGTGAATACTGCCCCTTGTTATAGTCACAGGCATGAAAAACAAAAAAACCACAGAGCATGGTAAATCATAGGAAACTTTCATGAACTGTATTGACCGAACTATGCAATATATCATCTCTTGTATTATTAAAGCTATTGTTATTTATTATTTTTATTAGCAAACCATCCTATGACAATGGATCTGTATAGAGAAGAACATTGAGAAAAGAAAATATAGTGAGGAATGTTTACAGTATGGTTTAACCTCAATAATTACAGCAGGAACTGAGAAACCACAATGTGTTATTTGTTGTGAAGTCCTATCAGCTGAATCTATGAAGCTGAACAAAGTAAAACCTCATTTTGCCAGCAAGCATCTGAGCTTTTCCAGCAAGGACACCTACTATTTTAGAAGCAAAGCGGATGGACTGAAGAAAGCCAGACTTGACACTGGTGGCAAGTTCCACAAACAAAACGTAGCATGCATTGAAGCTTGATATTTGGTGGCACTCACAATCTCCAGAGCTATAAAACCTCGAACCCATTGCTGAGTATTTACTGTTGCCAGAGCCAAAGATATTGTTCAAATTATGATCAGAGACTAATATATTATGAAATTGAGTGAAATTTCCTTATCTAACAACATCATTCATAAAAGAATAGATGACATGTCTGCTGATATTCTTGATCAGGTAATCCAGGAAATTAAACCTTCTTCTAATATTTAGTATCCAGCTTGATGAATTGACAGACATTGCAAACTGTTCACAGTTACTGGTTTACGTGAGGTTTATTAATGATGGTGACTTTAAAGATGAGTTTCATTTTTTCAAACTTCTTGAAGCAACAATTACTGCACGTGATGTATTTGACATGGTTGATTCATTTCTATAAAAGCATTAGATCTCTTGGGAAAAGGTTTGTGGTGTTTGCACAGATGGTGTTCCAGCTATGCTAGGATGTTAGTCTGCATTTCATCGTTTGGTATTGAATAAGTCACCAAAAGTCATCAGAACTCACTTCATGAGTTATTGGAAAGTATTAGCAATAAAGATGTTGACACAAGAGTTATAAGAAGTTATGAAAAGCATCACAAGTTCTGTCAATTTTTTAAAGGCGAGCACTTTAAACAGTTGACTAGTTTTAAAATTGTGCAACATGTTGGATGCGCCGAATAATGCTCTGCTATTTCACTCTGAAGTGTGAGGAGAAGTTTTCAAATGTGTTTTTGAGCTTTGTTATGAACTCCAAAAGTTTTTTATTTAGAAAGCAAGACCAGTTCAAAGCACTTTTCAGCGATAAAAGTGAACTGGAGAAAATAGCTTACTTGGTTGACACCTTTGCCATCTTGAATGAGTTAAATTTGTCACTGCAAGGATCAAATACAACATGCCTGATTTGTCTGAAAAGATACAATCATTCCAAATGAAATTTCACCTTTGGCAAAAAAAAAAGAAAAATTGTATTAAAATAAAATTTATATGTTGCCTATCTTATCTGTTTTCTTTGAGGAACATGACATTTAACCAGACAAAAGGATTACAATGATAATTTCTGTGAAAGAATACTTGCATATGCTTGCAGACGGAATTTCATCATACTTTCCAAATGTACCTGACACCCCATTTGCACTTGCCAGAAGCCCGTTCACTGTCAAAGTTGAAGATGTTCCTGAGACAGCACAAGATGAGCTCATTGAACTTATTAACAGCAATGCAGCGAGAACTGATTTCTCTACAATGCCAGTTACAAAATTCTAGACCAAGTGTTTGCAGTCATATGCTGTTCTGTCTGAGACTGTGTTGCACTTTGTTCCATTTCCAACAACATATCTTTGTGAAACAGGTTTTCCAGTTTGTTGGTTATCAAGTCTAAATACAGAAGTAGACTTGTTGTGGAAGATGGTCTTCTTTGTGCTCCTGCAAAGACTGCCCCGAGTATTTCTGATCTGGTATTTCAACCTTTGCACTGATGTTGACTTTTTATGCATACTGTCTCAAAATGTAGCAATATCATTTACTGTTGGTATATTAAGACTGTTTTCCAGGCTACACCATGCTTCAAGACAAAATTTCATTTATTTGTCATTAGAAATAAATATTTTACAATGTATAATTACATATTGTTTTTGTGATTAATCACTATGCTTTAATTACATTCAATTTGTAACAATGAAAATACATCCTGCATATCAGATATTTACCTTATGATTCATAACAGTAGCAAAATCACAGTTATGAAGTAGCAACAAAAATAAATTTATGGTTGGGGGTCACCACAACATGAGAAACAGTATTAAAAGGTCACAGCATTAGGAAGGTTGACAACCACTGCTTTAAAACAAAATGTTCATGTTCTCACCCCAGTACCTAAGAATATGATTTTGTTTAGAAATGAAGTCTTTGAAGATGTCTCAGTTACATTAATACGATGAAATTCAAAGTAGGGTGGGACCTAAACCATTATAAGTGATGTCCTTACCAAAAGAGGGTAAGACAAAAACATGATGGGAGGAAGGCAGTCCTGTGAAAGTAGAATGAG